TTTTTTGTCCCAGGCATTAATTTAGCACGTTTAANTTTAGTAGGGACAACAACAATCCAAAATTCCGAAATAATTTCTCAGTTATGAAAAACTTAGAGTGTGCCTCATCAATTATTAACCGCGAAACCAGAACATATAAGAAGGGAATCACAAATTGTAGCACAAGCAGGTTGTTTAACCTCAATTACGATTGCCACAAATATGGCTGGTACAGGTACTGATATTGTATCAGGTGGTTATCCTGAATTTAAGGCATTGTCATCTACTCGTTTTATATTAAAAAAGTTAATTCAGAAAGAGGACTTTTTTGTCCCAGGCATTAATTTAGCACGTTTAAAAAAAGCTTTAAAGAAAAATCCAAACTTGATTTCATATCTACAAAAAAAATTGGATATCCTTTTAACAGTCTTTGAGATTTCTAATAAAAATTAAACCTACTAGAAAATTTTATCAATAACTCATATAGTCAATTTTTATTCAAGTGTGAAGAAAGACAAAAAGAAGAGTCTAAATTGGTGAAATCATTAGGGGGGCTATATGTAATAGGANAAAAAAGCTTTAAAGAAAAATCCAAACTTGATTTCATATCTACAAAAAAAATTGGATATCCTTTTAACAGTCTTTGAGATTTCTAATAAAAATTAAACCTACTAGAAAATTTTATCAATAACTCATATAGTCAATTTTTATTCAAGTGTGAAGAAAGACAAAAAGAAGAGTCTAAATTGGTGAAATCATTAGGGGGGCTATATGTAATAGGAACCGAACGACATGAATCAAGGAGAATTGATAACCAATTGCGAGGACGTGCTGGGCGACAAGGTAATCCTGGGAGTTCGAGATTTTTTATAAGTCTGAATGACCCATTAATTCGGGTTTTTGGAGGAGACAAGATTCAGGATACGATGCAAAAGTTAAAAATAGAGAGCGAAATTTTAGATTCTAAATTTTTATCTGATTCTCTAAACTCTGCCCAACAAAACGTGGAAGGTTTTTATTATGATCAAAGAAAAACACTAAATAAGTACGACCAAGTTTTAGATAAGCAAAGAAAAGTTATTTATTATCTAAGGGAAAAAGTACTTTCAACTAAAGTTATGCGCGATTTAGTTATAGACTTTATTGAAGGATTCCTTGATGATTTTATTGATTTATCTAGATTCACAAAATCAAGAAGGAAAAGAGATTATTTTACCAAAACAAAAAATTAAGTTATTAAATCCATTATCCATTATTATATGAATATTATATGATAATTTAGATAACCTTGGAGCTTTAAAAAAATTTCTTTATCAGCAACTATGGGCAAGTTATGCCTGTAAGGAATNATTATCTAGATTCACAAAATCAAGAAGGAAAAGAGATTATTTTACCAAAAAAAATTTTTAAGTTATTAAATCGATTATCTATTTCAAATGGTATATTATATGATAATTTAGATAACCTTGGAGCTTTAAAAAAATTTCTTTATCAGCAACTATGGGCAAGTTATGCCTGTAAGGAATTTCGTTATTCTTGCTCAACAGATTCAAGAGTCTTAGATAGATATAATCAACTTATATTTTTTAAATATGTTGATTTGTATTGGTATAAACATTTAGAAAATATGACTTTTCTACTTGATGCTACCAGTTGGGAAGCTTATGCTCAAAGAGACCCTTTTCTTCAATATGAAGCACGAGCAATTAGTCTTTTGAATCTTACTCTTAAGGATTGTAGAGATTCAATAATATTTGAAATCTTTATCTCTAATATTATATTAACGGATAATTAATATTCATTAAAGTAAAATAGACAAACTATAATTTTCTATATGATCATATCTTTATAAGATGCACGCGGACACCGGCGAGTGTTCGGGGGTGGGGCGGGTGGACGTCCATAGGGTAGCGACCAAAACTGGTGTTTCTGCAGTCGAAAAAAGACAATGCTATCACAGCATGAATGCCCGACGTCTTTCTTGAAAAGGTGCCTGCCGACGCACGCGAGAAATCGACACGGGATCTTGGCGGCTCGACGGTGAAAACAGAACGCTTCTTGTGCCCTCGAGCTAGCTCGCCTTCCCCCGTTTTCACAGACCTTGACGTGTCCTGTCATATCGTCCGGGCCTTCGAGCGTGTGCCGGAACATGGTGTTGTGCCACTTTACGGGAACGATCTCTGGAGGGATGGGGGTGGGCGGAGGCGAAGGGGCATGTTCAGGACACCAACTAAGCCCGAGCGAAACGCCTTCTCAAAAGCTAAGTGTAAGAGAGCGCATTGTACAAATAGTTTGCCACACAAACTGCAAAACAAGAGTGAACGACGTGCAACTACCTTAGGAACACGACATAATCGAGGATTGCTGTCGCAGGAGAAGCAAGGGGTCAAGGGTCAGCGCGCGGGTTTTACTTCGTTCATGCCCACACACAACATGGCATCCTATCGTTTCCCACAAGACAATTCGCGGGCATGAGGTAAAAGGCAGGGATCTTGCGTCAGGAAACTTCAAGCCCGCACCAACGAAGCAGAGTGCACGGCCGTCATAACTTCAGCGGAGACACATCCTTACAGTTTCGCGAGCGGGTCTGGAAACAATGTAGTTCCAAAACACAAGACAACTCACGGTTGAGGGCCGACTCCATGTCTGTCCGTACGTCCGGGTCTGCCTGCGAACCGCCAGCAGCAACCAAAGTAATGAAACCACCGCACGACGGCAGGCACCATTATTAGGACAGTGTATCAACCACGCAGAGATCGAGAAGGAGAGCATACCACAGTCTGCGTCGGTGGTGCCGGTGGTTCGAGGCGCGACGCAAGGCATCAACAACGTTGAAAACACGGCAATTATCAAACGCGATAATCGGTGGGTAGGCAGTCACAAGTGGTGCTTCCGGTTGCCGTGATGTGCTGTCCAGCGCATATACATGGTCGTTCAAGCCCGACGCGAGCGCTCTGGATCAAATGGTTTGTGGGTTTGACGGTTGAACGAATGCTGCTGCCGCGCACGTTCGGCGCGGCTTTGAGAAGTTAAAAACTGCTGTTTTTCCGCAGTGATGAGCAATTCCTTCTCTAAATCGGCAGGCCCCGCTAACACTTGCATAGTTGAACCGTCACCATTTGCACCGCTTTGCACAAAACAAACTCGAGTAAATCTTGGCGTTACTGATATCCCGCTATTTGTATTGTAGCCCCTAGGATGTTTCTTTACCCGTCACCATTTTCACCGCCCAGAACAAAAAACATTCGACTACATCTAGGCCATAATGGAATGTAACCTTCATCCACGACATATATGTACCGTTTGCCTGCAACTGTGGTGGCCTGCCGAGAGCGAACGAGGCGGACACACGCACTTACATTTTCGTTGATGGTGAGCGACGCTGACGTGTGCTTGAGGAAGATGTTGGCCATCCCAACCCTGAACGAGCGCAGCTCCGGCACCTGCTTGCTAAGCTCCGAAGTGATGAGGTGGCAGCCCCTGGAAGGAGCGGTGACAGTGATGGTCCTCTGCGCCCACCCGGCCGTGCCCGTCTTGATCTATCCCGCAGACGCGGCGGAGCAAAAGAGAAACAAAAGCTTAAGTAGAAAATATATATCTACTTTTCGTCAACAGACTCAACAATCGTGTACTATTTAATATGTTATTAGTCTCAAGCAACACCCTGGTTTGCTGAGTGAAACAATCATGAACTCTAGTCACAAGCAGAACGCCTGGTTTGCTGAGGCTTTACAACAAAGAGCAATCTCAAAGGTAGTATCTCCCGAGACTAGTGTTTCTTTTTCTAAACTCACGCTGTCATGCTGCTCATTGACCGCTGCCAGAGAGGTACTCTCTGGCCGCTCTCCCGCACTCTGCAGCCTAGTGGTGTGCTGCTGCTGATGCTGCTGCTGCTGCTTGTTCAGGGCTTCACTTGAAACTGGCGAGTGTTGAAAGCCATCAGCAGGGGCGGAGCCGAAACCGCACAGCTGGGCACGACGTCGTACATACCAAGACGGTGGACGTGTAGTATATAGCAAATTTAGAAGGCGGGGTGAGTGTAGCACGGTGAGGCGAGAGACAAGGGGGACTTGGTAGCGCTGTTGGTAGCCGTTACCCGCGTATAACTGATCTCCCATTTCAAAGGCTGTTTGCGATGTAGACGACACAAACTAAACAAAGTGTTCGAAACCTTACTCTCAGGCAATATGAACGGCTCCACGTATCTACTCTATAAGAGAACGAATTTGAAGCATACATGTACCACACGAACATCCAGACGTGCGCCCGTGAATGACAGAAACCATGGCATGTGGAACACGGTGAACGTGTCCAAGCGGCTGCGCCATCCCCCCGCATTCCATCTGTTTACAAACCTGCATATTCCTCCCGCCTAGTCTCTACCAGGTACTCCTTGTTACTCTACCGCTGTGTTCAGAAAAGAGGGATTCCTATTTGAATATCGCACGACCAGATCGATTTCGCCACTGCTGCACAAAATCTGCAGCAGTCTTGGAGGAATTGCCGTGTGTATGTAGCAGATTCAACGCCCGGGGTCATTAACCTGATTGATGCACGTGGTGGAAAACTCAGGGCTCGTCCGTAGCGCGGCTGCAAGAGGACAGGGTATCGGACTCCTCACGAAGAAGAAGCGAAGTAGTCTCATGTGCCTCGACGCTTTATGGGGCGAGTTGGCATGTTGGCACCAGATTGGAGCCCTGGCACATTGGCAACTGGCACACGGCACACACAGCACATGCACCTACCTTCTCTACTTCAACCAGGTACGAAAGGATCGTGACAATCGACGAACTCCCGACATGTTTCTGCTCGTACACCACTCACCAAGCAGGTAATCACCAATGCGGGGAAGTTCTTGCTATAGAAAGGTGCCATTTTCAATGCGGGGTAGCGTGCTTGCCTCGATGCCTCCGTCGTCCGTCCGCAGAACTGAGAGCCAAGACCAGTAGCTGAAGACCAGACAGCAGACGCCGAGACTGTCAACCCGGGGGGTCCGTGGACAGCAAGTTGTTGTCGTCCTTATGAACCGGTGCCGGGAAGATTTCACGAAGCCCCCAGCACGCAAACCGCCAGTCACGTCCCGACGAGCGCGTCACACCACTCTGTGCCCAGCCTCTGCGGTGAGCGAAATACCTCTCATTCCCGCGACTAGAGGTGGGGCCTTTATGTGGGTGTTGTCTCTCCGATCAAAGTCGTAAGACCTCAAATCTATATTATGATAGTGCAGTAGAGCCTCAGTTCGAAAACTTGTGAAATCTTTCATTCTACTCTGAGCAACGCGGCATTGTATCCTTCGGGTTGGCGCGTTGGCAGATCTCACCGAACACTAGATGAGCCATGCAGTGTCAGAAATCGAGGACATGACCGTAATTTACAGGTGCATATCACGGGATTTGGATCATTTCGGTAGGGGTGCCGACGTCCAGTATCATGGTATCAGGCGTTAGGCTAAAGTAAATAGTGAATTGTACAGCAGTACATGCTGAGTATGGGCCACCTCTTGAGGCGTCATATAGGCACCTGATTGTACCTCATGACACTGTTACCTCATGATACTTCATCACACCTCAGGGTACCTCATGAAGCTTCATGACAGCTCATGGCACGCCTCATGAAACCTCATGGCACCTCATAGCACCTCGTCATAGCAGCAGCTCAACGCAACATATCGTACTTCATGGCAGCTGCTAGCACCTCGTGGTGCCTCCTGGTGTTCGTGGGGCTGCGAACATTGGTGTTGGATACATGTGCTGGATGATTTGGTGTCACGCAGACTGGTAAGATTGCCGGTTGGTAGGGGGCACCCCGATGATTCACGGGGCCCCTCCTTGCTGTGGGAGCCGCTCTTTGAGCACTCCCTCTTTCGTCCGTGTGAAGGACGGTCGTCTACCTCCCGTGAAGTTAATACATCACCAAAACAGTCTCACCCGATAAGTGAGTGGCGTAGGCCGCAAACACTTGACAGAGTTGTTTTTCCCCTCGAGGGAAGCCACATTGGAATGAGCTCTGCTGGAGACGAACAGCGCACTGCTGCGAGCGGAGAACAGATCCGCCCGCCGGTGCAGGAGGGCCGCGATGCGAAGCTTGCAAGTTTGCAACCGCAGGTTTCGCGATTGGCGGCCCTGGTGGAGGAGTCGGTGAAAAAGGAGGGGCCTGGCAGCGTCGTGGCGGATGCAGCCAGTAGGGTCGGCTGGGTTGCCGCCACCTAAGGCCAACAAGAAGAGCCCATGCCGCCGCTCAGCGGTGGCAGGGGATTTCTCCAGCAGCGAGAGATGGGGGGCAAGGACCACGGCACCTGCTCGAAGGCGGCTGGGCCAGCAGATCGGGAGCGAACCCTGTTGGACCAGCCGGAGTGGGCCCGGGCATAGGACCGGACTACGGGGAAGCGAGGGGGTTAAACCCCCCAGGTGAGATACCCGTGATTCGAGGAAATGGAGAATACCTCGACGGCTACAGCAGTAGCCAC